TCCACACAGCGGACATGTTGGCTAGCCACAATGCTGCTCAATGCTATCCTGCTAGCTGGCTGCAAACTGCGGAATGGATTTCCTGAGCGGAGGCGTGTCTCATAACTCTGTGTCTCATTGAGCCGCGCCTCCGTTCAGGAAGTCCATTCCACAGTTTGCAGCCAGCTAGCAGACTGGCCGGCAGGAATCACCTGTGGAGTCATTTCAGCAGACAACGTTAACGCAGACATGGCTCATGGATATCGGAAATCTGCGCAGGTTGGATCGGGAAATTCCAATACGTGAATTACGCTGGTATCGGTCCCGATACCGATACGGGATCGGATCGGCCCCATCCCTACAGTGTATATAAATGTACAGTTTGTAGGTAGAAATGTAAAGTTAATAAGATCTGATTTCCTAGCCAAAGATGATTTTTAATATAATTCTTGATGTTTTAATGTGTTGTTCACAAGAGACCAACAGAGTGGTGAGTGTTTGTGCTGCTTAAACAATGTGGGTGTTTACCTTTAAAAGCTCTGAACTGAGACCTGCGGGTGTGAAGTGGTTTGTGTTGGATTAAGCTGCTTTAGTACGGAGCTGTTAACAGTAGCACTGGGGGTTGACAGTCACATATCAAAACACTGTCAGACCCGACGTACCAGCATTTTCTCATTATCATAAGTGAGCAACTGTTCAGCAGCACTTTTTACTGAGCAATGTCAACTATAGTGCTGCTGTAATAAAGACTTTGAAGGTAACTTTTCTCTGACCGGTTTGAAACACAAATTCTATCTGATAAGTTAGTGATTGTGGTCTCTCACTGAGCAGTACCATCCTTTGAATACTCCCCTGTTGCATCCTTGAGCATCTCCCCTGACCTCTCGAGGCGGGGCAAACAAAAAGATCGGTCCCTCGGCGGGTTTATTGTTATTCACTTGGCCTTCTTTCTGAATAATGAATGACCAAATTGTTTAATGTAATCGCAACATGGGGGATCAAACCAGCGGAGGAAGGCTCTGCCCAGTTGCCCGTTTTCATGCAAAATTAATGGTTTCTGTGTAACACCTCATAATTTACAATGCATTAGATTTCATGACTGTCTGGCTACACTGTAATTACTGATAGGAGGAGGCTGTAACTTACAAGGCTGTCATCTTTTATAAGGTCTTGAGTTTTGTGCCGCTGTGGCTGTAGGATTTCTCTCTGATTCCTTTTCTTTCTCCGAGGGTGTTCGCTGGTTTCACATTGATGTGCTCTGACCTATGCTGTTGCTCCACACTGGCGCTCTCTCTCTCTCCCTCTCTCTCTCCCTCTCTCTCTCTGAGGAGAAGGGTTTGGAAAGCTACACAGGCCCGGCTATGTGTTTCATCTGTCGAGCTTAGCGCGTTGTGATCATGTCTGTGACTGCCGTCCAAAGTTTATTGGATCATTTGATAATCTTGTTGGCTGGAGCTTGGCCACACGTGTCCCCCAGTTCTGAATACGACTCTATAGGCACAGATGATAGATTCTAATCCAACAACACCAGACTGCCATCATACTGATTTTTAGCCGCCAGTCGTTTCAACAATATGCCACATGAATAAAACAACAAATCGCTCGGTTGTTTGTTATTATATCTGGTTGTATTTACTAGATTTGATGCATGCCACAGTTAAAGTAATAGCATAGCATTTCCCTGCTTTTGTTTACAAAAATCACACATGATAAGGAATGAAAAAGTAATAAGTTGTGAGAGCTTCACCTAAAATCACGTCCTCGTCTCTGGTGCATTTCAGGTTGCTGAGGTGAGTTACTTACTGCTGCAGCCAGGTCTGATAAAACAGCCGGGTGATTACATTGTTCAATAAGGCTGACTTTTGTAGTGGGAGTCTTGGTTAAGCGCCGTGTTACATTTTATTCCCTTTGTGCGAAGCTCTGAGGGTCACAGCAGTGGTGGAAAGAATACTGAAATATTCCTCAACTACAACTAAAACTACTGGTGTTAAAAATATACTAGTATTCTCCTCAAAAAGTAACCATTGCATTATCAATAGCAAATTACATTTGTCTGATAAATGTTAAAAGGTATGAATGGATCAAACTTAGGCAATTTGTTTTCTAGACAAATGAACAGATAAAACAGGAATTTTGTTTGTTAAAAGAATATAGAAAATGTTTCTGAACCTACTCATTAGTGTACATATCTATAAAAAGTTATCCAATGGTCTAATCTGTCTCCATTTGCTCTCTGTTTCTCCGAATCTTCACTTAACCTGTGCTGTTCTGGTCAGTGTAGTCCTCTCTCCCACCCCTTTTTTTCATGGTTTTCATTGTGGCCTGCAGTGTGCTTCCTTGCTCGCAGCGTGTGGAAAATAAAAAAAATAGAAGACACCCCAGTGCGCTCCATCTGAGCAGCCAAATTGGTTAGAATGGGCACCGAAAGGAAGCGGGCAGCGCTTTGGGGCACTTCCCCCTCGTGTGTCTCTGGCATATTGGCTGCAAAAATGCAGATTAAAGGTTTGGATTTAATTCAAATTGTAGGCCTGCACAGTCGCAAACTATTATGCAAATTATTATTTTAGTAGTAGAGTAGATTACATGATGCATACTTAAGTAAGAGTGAAATGAGAGGCTTCACTCTAATGACGTAGCCACAGTACTGTGAGCAGTTGTAATTTATTACTTCCACCCCTGGGTCATGGCAATTCATTTTAATGTTTGTACTCGCATTACACAGCCGGTTAGAGGCAGGGAGAGCAAGGCTGTGCTAGCTTCATGCTGCTCCCCCGCATCCTGTTATCTCATACTCTACCAGCTGCGGTTGCATGTTGGCTGCCGTTGCCTTCCCATTTCCACATGCGAGGCTCTGCTGCAAAGCCAGCCGAGCCCCCCCATCCGCCACCACTTTTGGCATGGGATGAGTGCAGAGCTGAGTCTCCTAGCCCTGGGTTTTTTTAATTGGGTTTTGATGACGGGACTCTGCTGGTTTGCCAAGCTGGCCGCTGCGTCTACTGATGTTCTCCCCTTCGGTCAAGTAGATGATTGGATTTTCATTGGAGTGGTCAAACAGTAAGGGATAGAGGGGAGAGGGCCCTATCAGCCGTCTACCCGTGTAACTCTACAGGCTGTTTGGCCTCCGAGAGCGCTGAATTTATAGACATAATATGAGGAGGCTTTGTTTGTGTTAGGGCATGCTTCCGCCTTATCTCTGCTGCCGCATGGATACCTTGTCACTCTAATTTTGAGGTTCTGAATTGAAAGTTTATGTAGTCCATTATGTTGGGCATATTTGGCAACCCTGTGGCTTATGAAGCACATTCAAAACCATCTGTTTTCAAAATTCATCCCCCAGTAAGGAAGCTGTTTTTCTCAATTAGAAAAAAAGACTTTTGGAAGACATGGTGGACAGTAGCATTGTGCTTCCGCCATCGTCGTCCCATTTCGACAGCAGATGGTAGTGCTAGAAAAAAGCATAATCATTTTATTTTGTCTTATTCCCCCCCTTCCTTCTCTCTCTAATCCTCTTTATAGCAGCCCAACATGGTTCCATACTGATATTTATATGCAGCAGGGTTCTGGGTATGAGGAGTCAAAGTCATGCTGTTTTTAGTTCTTCAGCTAAATTAATTAAATACAGAAAGTGCTGCTCACCCGTCAGTCGCCTCAGTGGAAGATATGTACGTTTATCCTGGAGGCTGTATGTTTGTATGTATGTATAATTCTAAATATTGGGCTGAATGCTGGTAGATTTCACTCTCTGCTCTCAACAAGCTTCCGTGGAGCCATTTAAATAGTCATGTGTTTGACTCCTTGGCCTAATTATAGAGAATGCACTACTATGTGTGCACAAACATACAGAGCATCATTAATCTTAGACTAACTAGATGCAGCAGCAATTATTTCAGGGATATTTGATACAGTGAATGCATGTTTAAGTGTCTTTATCCTTTGAGGCCTGTATGTAAATCTGACATTTGCCTCTCAAAATGATGTCTACCAAATTGATTTTGAGGGCAGGCGGATTTAATGTGGAGCAATCTTATCCCTATCTTATCCCAGTTGGTCTTGTTAACTGCCTCTGCTCTCAGGAGTGAGAAGAAGAAATATATTTAAATGAGACTGACAGACCCAGATAATAAACTTTCTGAGCTGACCTTCTGGACTGAACAGATGTTTCCTATCAAACAGCTGTGAGGTTGATCTTGATCCACTCTTGTTGGAGATATGAAGCTGCAGCAGGTTACCGTACACACACGGTGGGATGATATGCTGAGAGGCTGCAGAGCTTGTATTCCGCTTTTCTACATGTAAAGCTTTTGTGCTGTTTGAAACACAAAGCAGTGCTTCACTTTGGTAGCAACATGTAACAGACGTGTAGTCAATCACATCAACAACTCACATAAAGGATTTTTCCTTCAGCTCTCAATATCGATGATTGCAGAAAGGATGAATTCCTCCCTAATAGATAGCAGGGGTGGAAAGCAGGCGTAAAAGATTAAATTGGGTCTTTATTACATATGCCTACAGTTATTTTTTCAGTAGGAGTGCAATCAATCAATTAATCTGCCAGTTATTTTTGGTCAATAACATGTCAGAAAAAAAGGAAAAGTAGCCATCACAGTTATGTTCTGTTCCATCATAAGTCAAAGAAAAGCAGCAAGTCTTCACATGTGAGAGTTTTTGACCTTTTTTTTAAAAGAATGACTTAAGCGATTAATGGATTATTAAAATAGTTGAACTATTACTAAGCTCTAATTTTCACCTCTGTTTGTTTGTTAATTAAATTTCATTAGGGATTGGGTTCAATAGCATTTTATTAAATCTGAATCTAGTTCAGAATCTGCTCATCGAACCTGAATCATTGAATCACCTGTATCACCACACACACACACACACACACACACACACACACACACACACACACACACACACACACACACACACACACACACACACACACACACACTCACACTTGGTTGACCAAAACAAAGTGTTAAGTGACAAAAATACTCACTCAATGGTCATCTGCCCTCTAGGCCCTGCTGCTCTTGGTTGTCTTTTCCTGTTTGTCTTCGGGATCCTGAAGAAGGTCTCCGGCACACCTCTGTCTGTCCAAGTGAGTAGTAAAAAACTTGCATAATGTTAGCAACACACACACACAGGCCCTCTCGGGGTTGGCGACGGCATCCAGCAACAACTTCCCACGCTGAAATTCATTGCAGCAGGATGATTCAGTCTCTGTTGGCATCGGAGGGTAATTTGAGCAAAAGCACCACCAATCGCTGTTTGGTCTCGGCAGCTCAGGTCCCCGCCAGCCATATCCTTTTCCACGACTAATGTGGCACCAGCCTCGGCCTCTTTTCCGCCGCCTTTCTTGGGCTGTGTACTCCTGCTCAAATAAATACGGCCTAATATCCGAGTCAGCCAAAGAAAGTGTGAAATGTACCCTCGTCCATAACAACCTCTGCACTCATACTTTGATATGGCATTTGGAAAACGTGGCTAGTTTGCTGTACAAGCGAAGCGCGGCATATGGGAGTTGGCACGTGATTGTACATGTCACCCGTTTATTTCTCTTTGCAGACGGCTGTAGTATCAGAAGGACAGGCAGACTATCTAAGAAACAATTTTGGGAGGGATTTGTGATTCATTTAGCATAGCATAACAATGACAATAATTAATCAATAGGACATCCTAAAGGTGCTTTCAGGGAAAAGAAATCAGTTTAAAAGTGAGTGAAATGTTGCAGCAGGAATAAAATCTTTTTTTCCAAGAGCAATTTAGGTGAAATGATTAGCCTTGGTGGGGGTTTGCACTCTTAGCAAATGCTCTCCATTGTACATGTTCACGGTATAATCTTCACAGTAGGCGGCAAGGTCGAAGTAAAGTATATTATAGTCCGTTCCTTCCATATTCGGACTCCAATGTGTATTCATGCTCAAGGATACAGTTGGTGGAGGTGTATCTGTAATGTTTGCACTGTGTTCTCAAAGAGGTTTGTCTCATTTATTTCTCTTTCTTTCCTGGGAACAGCTGTGAGGAAGCCTTAAAAGGTCAAATAACTCTAGGTTAGGCTGCCTGAATGATAATAGGAGAGGACTTATTCAGCGTATTCTTACTTGCATTTTTCAGGTTTTATTTTATTTATTTAAGCGCGTTGGAAGAAAAGTGCAAGCACTACCAACAGGTGCTCCTAATAAAATTATATGTAGCTTATAAATCTGTGGATATTGTAACCACAGAGATAGCAAATGTGTGTGTGGTACATCAAAGGGAAACAACAAAACAACAGTTCTGATAATGGACCAGGTCATCAGAAAAAAAAATCTTTACTCTCTACTTTCTGTTTTAAATGTGAATATTTGTTGTTCTTTGATAACAAATTAAATATATTATCACCAAATTCTGACATTGTTTAGACCAAACAATTAATTGAAAGATAATCTGCATCCCTAGTGGTACATGACAAAAGCAAAACACCAAGTAGAAATGTGTTATGATCACGCAGACCACAAAGGCCCATGTGGTTGCAACACTGACAGATGAGAAACAATATTGGGAGTATATCTGAGCAAGTGCGCACACTCAGTTTTTCTTTTTTATTTATTGCACCAGACGTGCTTTATTTGTTGTTTGACTGTGTCTCTCACAGTGGCACAAGGGTAAAAAATAAATATATATATATATATATATTCTTCCCTTTGAGCACCCAAGAAGACATGGGGATAGAGGCAAAATACGCTTGAGGTTTGTTTGGTATAATCATTTCTCGGAGCATGTTTATTCTCAGGCATTCAGGGCACTGTTTTGTTAGTTTTGTACTCTAGGCATGCAGTGCACACTTATTCTTCCAGAAAAGCCTGTAAATATGTTGTGCATAGATGGGAATACTATAGGTGGGCTACTGACTTGCTGAGTTTTGACTGCATACATGCTTTGCACCATGAATGCTCTGATGTGAAATGATAAATGACTTGTCTGAAGCTCCAGCTCTAAAGAACCTTTTATCTGCTTAGATTACTTCAGGAATGTCTGTCTTATCTAGTTGCCTTCACAGAAAAAATAATGTAACAGGGCCAGGCTAATGTGTGTTCTGCCGAGATGCACACTGTGTCCTCTCTAATATGTGAATCCCATGCATTTTTCACGACGCGGTTGATTACATTCTCTGGATGATTTTTCATATTTAATCAGCTCCAGGCGCTGTGGGTTTTACTTACACAAGAGTGGCCATTAATATGCAGTGTATCCACATCACAGACATGCATTTGCTCTGTTTTATGGACGTGTGGAGTTGTAGTTTCAGTGTGCTTGGTGTTGGCGACGGTGATATTGGCGCCTGAATCTGTTTATTGGGGGATTATTGATAAGCCTCTGATGTAACTTTAGCATTTTCATCTTCTGTAATGACTTTAATTGATATGTAGTTAGTGATTCATCTTTAAATCACAGTGATTTAATCTCATTTCATATTGAAGCATCGCGAAGAAATAGCGAAAGCTGGAATGATTATACGGATCATAATTGCACCCAAAAGCAACAAAACAAGGATATTGCAATAATGTGGAACAGAAACACAAAATAACTCCTTAATGTGGGTACGCAGTGATTGGATGTACTCCTGTTTACCAGCTCAGCAGGTGATATTGATATTCATATAATAATTTATTCATTAATCACTGTCATCCTCCATCTCTATGGGAAAAACAGCGCCGGCTAAATGGCGGACACCTGGTGACCTTTCCCGGCAAGAATCCGCTGTGGGGAAAATTTGTTGCCGAGTCATTTTATTCAGCCGAGTCATCACTGATGCGTCCCAGCCTTGGAATTGTTGCTGTGTCACCCCTGCTCTATCATGTTATGGAGAGCAAATACAAAACTCTCATAAAGAAAAACACTTTCACCTCTTATTATAGAGAGAAAAAACAGGACGGCCCGCTGCCATCACCTATTTGCTTCTGCCATGACGGCGTCCAATTCATATTGAATATAAACAGCCCATGTGTAATGAACCAGGGGATGATGGTCCTGCTTTGCGCTTTGTGGGATTGCAGCCCCGACTCCCTACAGCCTTTGAGACGTGTTTGATGTCCTGTGACGCCAAAAGATGCTTCAATAGTTGTGAGGTTCAAAGACAAGCACACAGCCGTCCCCATGCATGTTAAACAGGACACATAAAAGAGTTGTATGGCAGCAATGTACAGTTTACCAGTCATTTTGTTGAACACTGATGATGAAAAGCTTAGCTGTGAATCCATCATGTTAAATAAAGATGTGTCGATCATGGCTGCCCTCTAAATGTCAATTAATAAAGCCATCAGTCAAGGAGCCTCCAATTCAAACCCCATGTTATCAGCTGAATCACTTTCCTTTCATTCAGCTGCGTCATAACACAGAAACACAGGAAAACAGCATGGCAGGCTGCAAACTGGGCAGAGGCCATGATGGTATTATAATAGCAGTATTTCTCATGATTCTAGGCAAGGTGTATTGATGAAACAAGACTAACACCCAGGCCATACCGCCTGCCTCTAGCAGCTCTACAGCTCAGCACGCCGCAGCTGCCAGCCCTGTTTTTATACATTGAGCTTACCTTTGATAATGGCCATTATATTATCAATAATACAATGCTCATGTTTCATGAATATTTAATTTATATTTCATTAGAATATAGATAAAGGAAGTGTATACTATATTCTACAGATATAGAAATTGAAACTGTTGTGTAATTGTGCTGGTATGATGTCCATATGACTACCAACAGATCCTTGTTTCTGCCTATTTTTTCTGAGAAGTGCACATGTACACGGAAAACGTAGGCAACACAGGAACCCCGAGTGTCTACAAAATGTCATGGCAGTCTGTCCAGTGGTGTGATTATTGACATATTTCACATTGAACCAAAGTAGTAGCAGACAGACAGACAGACACACTCCTACAGACATTTCCAGAGCCATACCGCTAGCATCTGTTTTCTTTAAGGGCTTCTGTTTTGTTGTTATTCTGCCATTTATGCTGTGTGCCCGTGTTCATCAGCTAAGGTGAGAATCTATGCTTGGAAACAACCACCAAAGAGCTATCTCACCTGGGTGTTACGGTGTTGTTCAATAACAACAGATTTGTCAGATTGTGTGATAAATGTCTAGTGATTGTAGCACTACAACAATAGACAAATAAGATGCTGCTCTTATGGTTTGAAACTGCAGCAAAACAATTAACAAGCTTTGGCCACAGCATTGGCACTTCAGTGCATAGGAAAAAAACTCAAAAAAGGGTGAGGAGGAGAGGGACTCAGCAGGTCTTTGGTTTCCCAAGCACTAAATTGGCTGTCAAAAAATTATGACAACCAAATGTGGCACAGACAAAGGTAAATTGGCTAGGTTTTTGTGTATTCTCCACCTTCCATCTTATTAGGTAAGGTTTAATTAGACTGTTATTACTTATTTTAGTGTTTCCATGATGACAGTGTGCTCTGTGTTTAATGTCATGCAGCACACGGTGGACGGGTCCCATGATGTAGAGTTATTGCCCCTTCCATCACTGAATCCGTGGCAGTAGGCCTGCCATTTCCTGCACATTCATCACCATTAAGAGAGCAATCAGTAGTGCTGGAGATCAGCTTTGGCTATAGGAAGGATGCAATGTAGATGACAGATCCAGATCCCCCCCCTCCTCCCCAATGACCCGAACAACCCCCCCACCCCAATCGCTTTATCGAGTGCTATGATCTATTGAGGGAGAAAGTGGGGTGATCTTAAATAAAAGCAATAACTCTGTGGCTGTGAAGAAGGAAATCAGCAGGCAGGCGTGTCCTAGCAAGCCAGACAGCCATCTTTCCCCTCCTCAGCTGTATGGACATACGTTTCCCATTCCTCCTCCTCTTACCCCCCCCCAACCCTCCTTCTGTTGCTGCCGACTCACTCAAGTTTATCATCAGCTGCTCCCCGTAGATGGCTTATTGCCTTTTCCACCCTCATCTGTCCGCCTGGCTGAAAAGGCCTCCCAGGAAGAGATTAGCAATCCAATAACTCGTGGAGCATCCACCTCAGCAGCAGGTGCTCCCCAGAGTGAATGCTGATGAGAACAGCCAGGACTCTATAATAACAGGCCAGGCAG